AGCTCTTCCCACAGATCCTTGACCCAATGGTCTGGGAACTCCGAGGGGTCCCTCTCGAAGGCCGCCTCCAAGAACCCTAACGATCGCCGACGCTCCGCCCCGTGTGCGACCCCTATGATGGACTCGAACATCTGGATCTCGCACCGGGCCCTCTTGAACCAGGTCGCCATGTGGGTGGCGGGCCGTTGGCGGGGCTCCAGCTTGTCGTCCACAGGGAGCCGATAGCCATCGAAGTCCTCGTCACGCGCGGGGACGCAGTCGTCCACCGCCAGGTCGTGAGGGCCCGTCCCGAAGGCGAGCGCCGCGTAGCCGTGTGCCACACGGTTAGTAACCAGGCAGGGAAACCCGATCGTCTTGAGCGTGCTCTTGGAGTGCGCACACATGCGCTTGAGAGAGTCGAACAAGTCCTTCCCCGTGATCCCCTCGCAGGCCTCAACCACGAAGGTGTTGCATCCCCGGGCTATGTAAAGATCAAGTTCCTCGTCCCGACCGATCCCTGCCCTGGTGCCCCGGGCCTTCTTGTCGCCCTCGGTGGCCCGCGCCTGCCGCTCGGCGGCGAGGACGTGGCGTTCGGTGAGGCGGTTCTGGCGATCCAGGCGCTCGATGATCTGGGCTTCGGCCTCGGCTGTAAGCCCGCCCAGGGCGCCCGCCGCCCCGGCGTCGTCTGGACCCCCAGCTCGCTCCCCACCCAGGCCGCCCCCGTGGGGCGTCTGGCCAGTGAGGTGGCCAAGGACCGAGGCCCCGTCGAGGAGCGGATTGGCCCCACGAGCGGCCCCCCCGCGTCCATCGCGTGCCGGCAGGTCCCGATCACCCAGCAAGCCCCGTCGTGGGCCCGTGGGTTGGATGGGGGGCATGGCACCGAAGAGCTCGCGCCGGGGTCCCTGCTTCGGGCTGGGACCCCGTCCCCGCGCCGAGCGACTCCGCGACCCCTCACGTGAGAGGCTGCCCTGCAGGGGAACCTTGTCGGCGGCCGCAGCACGCTCCCGCGCGCGCGCTTCCAGCTGCGCGTCCTCCCAATCCGCGAGGGCGCGCTCTAGGTCGGACCCCAGTGGGCCCGCCGCTGCCACCTGTGCGACCCTCCGCCGCAGCTGCCGCTCCGCCTGATCAAGCGGAACCCCGAGCAGGTCCGCGGCCATACCTAATGCACTGAGGGCCGCCGCTTGGCCCCCCCGTCCTTTGAGATCCTCGGCTCGCAAGGAATCCATGAACATTTCGAGTGGGTCGGGCTCCTCAGCATCCTCGCTCACGCCGGCGGCGGCCGCCGCTAAGCGCGACGGTGCCGCCACGGGGGCTGGGCGGGGTAAGCCCTCCATCCCGGGCGCAGGCTGCGCCCCCTGCGCGCCGCCCCGCCGATGGCGGCCGAGTGTGCGCACCGGGTCGTGCTGCAGCTGCTGGCGCTCCGTGTTCGTCAGGTAGCGCCGCCTCCAGCCGCTCGCGCTTTCCACGTCCACACCGCCCCGCTGCTCCTGGCGTAACATCGCCAGCAGATCCTGCGGGATGTGGTGGGCGATGACACGCAACCCCGCTTCCCGAGCCCCTTGGGGGACCTCGCACAGCAGCCGATTGATCCAATCTATCGGGTAGCGCCCGTCCTCCAGCGGAGGGGGGTGCCGTACGACCTCGCTGGCTGGGACCTCCACCCTGACGCCCTCGAGGCTAGTCCCGATGATAAGTCGGGCGTCCCCGCCAGTGCCCCGTGCGTCGAGCCCCTCGCATTCTCCCAATAGAATAAACCAAGGACTCGCCGGGGGCGCGCCGTACGCCTCCTCGGCTCCCCGAGGGTCGCCCGGAAGTATCGGGCAGACCTTCGCGAGTAGGGGCTCCTGAAGCCACCCGTGATGGGCGATCCGATCGCCCGGGGCTCCGCGGTCGGCAGACCGTGAGCGTCCGCTGGCCCTTGCTTCCGCGGAGCGTGTGCGACGCGGCTGCGGCCCAGAGGCTAGGGCCTGCGCCCCCGTGGGCTCCACATCGACAGATGGGGCCACGGCGGGCGGTGGCGGTGCAGCGGGGGGAGGTAGAGGCGGGGGGTAGACCGGCCCGGGCGCTATGCCAACCCCATCGGCAGCGTGCGCGGTCCAATCGCGCGCCCTGGCGGGGCTTGGAGCCCGCGCCCGCATGCGGCGGCGCAGGCCCCCGAGAATCCCAGGTTGGACCGTCGCTTCGACGCGCACGGTGTGACCCTCGTCCCGTCGGAGATGTTCCCCGCACATCGGGGCCCCCCCGCAGCTACCCTTCGCCATGCGGAGACAAGTGGGGAGGCTGCACTTGCGGCCGATCAGGGTAGACCGATACTTCTGCGCATGGTGGGCGCAGAGGTGCACCTGTGCATTGAGACAATGCCCCGGCCGGGGAACATCCGACACCTCCGCGTCCTCCTGTAGCAGGACAGTAGCCTCCTGCATCCCTCGGTCGCCGCACCCCTCCCGGCTGGAGGGGGCGTGCGCCACCCGCGAGCTGCACCCCAACGTGTGCGGCTTGGCAGGGGCGCTCCTCCGCCTCCACCTCGCTCTCCGAATCGATGTCCAGGCGGCGATAGCCCGTGGCGTCGGTGATGTAGCGGGGCTCCGGCCGGCCCCGGCACAGCCATCCGAGAACCGACCAGGGTGAGCAAAGCAGCCACTTGACGACCCCGAATACCTTCCGGAGTCCCACGCCGACTGCCCGGCAGGCCGTGGCCCTTCCGTGCTCAGCCAAGTCCACGATCTGTGTGTGGTCAATGGCCGCGTACTGGTCGACGTGCATGGGATGCGCCACTGGACAGGAGGCGCACTCGACGGCACGACATAGATGCACATTCCCTGTCTCCTCGAGGTTCAGCCGCCACTTGCGACTGGTGCACCCCAGGACCTGCCCGATCTTGATGTTGAGCCCGTGGCGGTCCAGTCGGTACCGGTCCGCGAAGTTGCAGCTGATGCGGGCCACCTGCCCGTGCTTACGCAGAAGCACGTGATTGTACGCCCGATTGGTCCCTCGGCCGCGGACCCCCTTTGTGTAGAACTCCGTCTCCACCACGCCGCCCAAGCCCGGCCCGCGCCAGCGCACCAGCAAGGGGGTCGGAGGGGGTGGGGGAAGATGGGCGCCGGGCCCATCGCCTCCGCGTCGCTGGCAGCACCGGGTAATCTGGTACCACGCCCAGCGGAGTCCCCCGGCAGCCCACAGCATAGGCTGGGCTGCGGTGTTGATGATGAAGGCCAGGGCACCCAACACGAACGTGAAGATGCCTAGGGCAAAGCATAGGACCGCGGTCTCCCACCAGTACCCAAGCATCTTAACGCCCAGGCGGTCGACGGCGGATCCAATCCATCCGCCGCTCGTGCGGATCGTGCCCGGGTGGTCGGGGGAGCTTACCCACGCTCCGTAGCCCACGAACTCGGAGACCCAGGCTGCGAAGCCCCAACCGGGACCCGGCCCCGCCTCCGGGGGCGGGGTAGGTGGCGGCGGCGGCGGTGGGGGTACGTTCCGGCCAGCCCACCAATGGGGCAGGTGCGGGACCCAACCACTCCACTCCCAATACCCGTCCAGCCCACGCGGCAGGTCAGGCTCACCATCGCCCGTCCGGTTTCCCGGGGCGGACGGCTGCCCAGGCGCACCCGTGGGCTCGTTGTTACCTCCGTATGCCGGCGTAGCTGGGCTGCCTGTGGGCTCGCCCTCGCCTACGCGCCCGAGGCCCGCGGTCGTGGTCGTTGTAGTCGACCCTGACCGCGGCGGCGGTGGGACGCCCGGCGTCCCCGGGGGCTTGGCCTGCGGCCCTCGCCCCTTTCCCCCTGCAGGCGCGGGCTTGGCGGGCGGTCCTCGCCCCTTGCCTCGCCCCCCACCGCCTGCCGGCTGCGCTGTCGGCCCGGGCAGGGCTGGCGGCGTCGGCGCTGGGACCTCCTGTCCCCCGCGCCCGAACGGCAGCCAGCCAAGTGCCCCTTGGACCGTGAGAGCGCCGCCCGTAACCAAGATCATCAGGTGCGCCCCCAGGAAGCCCACAGCCATGGCACCACAGGCGCGCTACCTAGTCCGCGGACTAGTACGGCTGTGGTTATGGCCGCCCCGCGGCCCCCTGGAACACCCGCGCGTCGGCCAGAGCCGAACGCTACGGACCCAAAATGGCTACCTGAGCCCACACCCCCTCCCAGTTAACCTGCAGTCTACAACCAATCAGACTATACAAAAATCTACTGACGCCAGGGTCCCTGTGGGCACGCATGCTTGCAACCTCGGTGGCAAGACAAGCACGAGCTCAGACATGGCTGAATCAAAATTTACCGCCCGATGATTTGGGCCAAATTTCGCCCTGGCTTGGCCCTCGAGCCGAAACCCTCCGGAAAAGCTAATCGTTGCCACTCTGAAGCGAAAGAGGGGTCAGAAGACGCTCTGCGAGCAAAGGGGAGGCTCAGACGGCCTCACATGGTCCTTGCGGCTCGGCAACATTCGGACGTTCGTCACTCGCCCCGACTGCTCACGCGACCCCCCAGGCAGATCTACAACTGTGGGGTTTAGGCGCCGATTGGAGGAGAGATGGGAAATGCTGCACCGACCTTGCAGAAGACGTGCCGCAGCGGATTTGTGCGTGGACTTCTGCCACTACAACACCCGAAACGGCGAGCGAAAAACGAAGTGTATTTCGCGTGGATGGTTTGTAGTATTCATTCCTGGCCAAAAAATCCGCACGAAATTCACTTCGAAATCCGGAGCGAAATTCTCCAGGACAGCCCGGACCCATCCCAGTGCTTTCCGAGCGAAATCCGCTCTGCGATGCTGGCGCCATGACATAATGTGGGCGCCACCGGCCCTGCCTGCCACAGACCTCTGTGCAATGAGCATTTTCTTAGGGTGGAGGGCTCAGGATGAAATCTAGATGGGCTTTTGAACCTCGAAGATCAATCCGACTTGTGATTCACCTTCTGCAGACTCAAACCTCGAAAATCAATTGAAACAACATTTCAGCTTTCGCCCTTTGCCCTCCACCCAAGGACAATGCTCGTGTGCAGAGCACGCACAACCAAACCGGAGGTTCAACCGACATGAGCCGCAGGAGCGGCGCAGAGCGCGGCGAGGGCGCGGGTCTCCTGCAGCGCAGCCGCCGCGGCGTCGCACGAGGCCCGCAGCTCCGCCAGCAGGCGCTGTCGCACCTCCGCCACCGTGTCGGAGGTCCAGCAGCCCAGCGCTCTGGCGGCCCCGGCCTGCCCGTCCAACAAAGGGGGGTCGGGCCAGGAGGTACGGCAAGCAGGAGCCGCCCGCGCGTGCGCCGAGAACGGTGCCCGAAGAGCTCGCCTTGCTCCGCCTCGCCCCTCTCCCCCCCCCCAACAACACCCCTCGCGTCCGTCTGGGGCATCAACCGCGATCGCCTCGAGTCGCGCCGCCAGCACCCCCCCCCCGCAGGTGGCAGGTGGCAACGAAGACAGAAACAAGAGCGGGAACATGCTCAGCCTGCGTCCTCTGCCGATGGTGAGCGTGTTCTTATTCGGCGTTTCGACATTGGTCGGAAGGAGGGGGAGGGGGGGGGCTCTGGCTCCGGACCTCTGCTTAATGCGACTGTTTGCAGCAGTACATCCTATGGAGACTCCACCTGCTCGAAACAGGCCAAAAACAGCCAAGATCTACTACATGGGGAGGTGGGGGAGGGGGGGGCGAGGGCCCGAACCGATCCGAAAAACAATGACAAAAAAAACGATCACGTGCTCAGCCTGCCTCTCTGCCGATGGGAAAGATCCAAGAAGATGACCAAACGATCTCGGCGGCGACGACAAACACGAGCAGGCCCAGAGCCCAAGTCACTGCTCATCGCCTATAGGGCGCTGCTGCGTGACTGGCCCATCCGGGCACTCCTCCATCGTAATCCTACATCATTGCGACCTCAGTCCCCGCCTTCGTGCAATCTTCAAGCCTCGGCTGGGCAAAACAAGTTTGGGCCCCAACTTGGGGATCTACGATGGGGGGCGTCCATCATCCACAGGGATGCGTCCGAATAGCCCTCAAGGGGCGTCTCCCCCCAACTTTCCCTTTCATTTTCCAGCGGCCTGACCGTTCTCTGACAGCGTCTCGCTATGATAATATATTGTATAGAAAACAAGAGATACCCGCAGGGGTGACGGAGAGCCCGTGCCCGCCCAGTGCCGGCAGCGACTTCGCCCGGGACGTCCGCGATGTCTGCAAGGATCCCGCTCTCGCCTCAGTGCCGGCTACATTGAAGTGGCCCTGGGACACACAAATAAATACACACAAATAAAAACATTCCCCATATTTTCCTATATTTTCTGAGTTTTTGTCTTCCCCCCCACTTCCCATATCTTCCCATATTTTCTGGAAAACCGACGATTAATTGTGTCTGTGTGTTTCTTTCCCTCCTGATACATTCTCTTGCTCTGGACGGGAACGACCCTCTGCAGAAACCATTACGGAGGTGCACGTGGCCTGGTCCGGGCAGCCACGATCCCCTGTGATAAATACACTTAGGCCGGCCCTGTCCCCCAACTGGGGGGTTTTGGACGATCTGTATATATATATATATATATATTACAGATATTCAACAGATGCCCAAAATTACTCAAACAAAAAGTCCCCGTGGACCATTTTTGAATACTCCCCCTGCAGAGGGACAGGCCCGACGCAAAAGTACACTCAGGTGCACGTGGCCTGGCCCAGGCGGCCAAGGCCCCCAGCAGCCACAACGCCAAGGTTCGCACCTCCGTGCTCCCGCCCCTGCCGTGCCCGTCGGCGTCCCCGAGAATCCCCAGGACTGCCCAGGAGCGCCTGCCTTCGCTCACCGACGGCCTCCGACCCCTCGACCCGCCTGTTCGACTGGAAACTGGGACACACAACAATATATCTGTATATATATATATATATATATATACATATACATATATATATATATATACACACATAACCGGATTCCCCACAGGTCCCGATCTTTTCGTGGGTTTCTGCCTTCCCCCCCCCACTTCCCATATGTTTCCATATTTTCCTGGGAATCGGCGATTCGTTCCCATCCTGACTGTTTACCTCTGCTGGTATTGGGGTGCTTTGCCGAGCCGACCATGGGACAACTCAACGACTGGAAGAAAAAGCATCGCCCGTGGCCATCGGCTGCACGAAAAAGAATCCCGTGCGAAGAAGTAGTACAGCAGTTCTCTGGATGGGGCAATGATCACCCCCCCCTCGGATCCGCTGGGGGGGTTGGGCACGTGCTGTCGGAATGTGTGGAGGGGGGGGAGGAAGAGGCGAAGGATGAGGAGGGGGAGGACGGAGGGGGGCGGGATTGGGCAGGCTCAATCAGGAGGTGAATCACTCCAACATTGATTGAACAGGCTATCCAGAGTTGGTGTCGTGATGCATTCGGCGGTGGCGTCTGACTCCTCACTCAATTTTGAACCATCGCGTACTGAGCATCGTTTATCCGACCACCATCCCCAGCGGCATGGCCTGGGCCCCATTGGCCGATTGACCCCCCTAGATGGGGATATAGGCCGTTCCCTTCGGATTTCGAGGGGCGTATCTCCAACTGGGGGTAATTTGGTGGGGGTCTCGAAAGGGATGGGGACGGGGATCGGGATTGGTTAAACGATACCGGCCGGCAACACGGATCACATCGACAGCGGCCGATTCCGGGCAGCCGGCAGCGTTCACCAACATGAATGCCCGCGCTGGGGGGCCGCTGCCGCTTCTCGACGCGACTCGAGCCTGCTGCCCACATAGGCAAGAGCGACCCGAGGCAAAACGACCTTCTGGTGGGCGGCTTTGGGAGGAGGGCATTGCGGACCAAGGCGAAGGCAGGAGTGACCCGTGATGGGCCTGTTTTCCACCACCACCGCCATAAGTTGGAGGGGGGAAGGAGGTGGAGGACGAGGAGGAGGAGGAGGAGGAGGAGGAGGACGACGACGACGACGACGAAGAGGAGGAGGACCCCCTCGCCCTCCAACTTATGGTGGTGGTGGTGGAAAACAGGCCCATCACCCGAGGTAAAACGACCTTTTGATGCGCGGCTGTGGGGGGGAGAGGGGGACTGGGGACCAGGGCGGAGCTTCCAGGGATCGGATCGTGTGCAAGGATCGGGGGACCGCAGTGGTCGGGTCGGACGAAAGGGAGGCAGTAAGGGGCGGACGTTAGCGAACCAGCTCGCGTGGCTGATTCTCACAGCGCCGCCTCCGTGCGCCGGAGGCGCCAGTGTATCATGGAAAGCGCCCGGACGCGAGGCCGAAACCAGCTGTGCGCAGCATACTGCGAAGCCCCCCTCCGTTCGAAGGTCCTCAGAACGTGCGTTGGCGCCAACGTGCGTTTGACCATCGATACCTCTCCGTGCGACGCAGGTGGTGTCACGATCTGTCGGTGCAGCCGGACGGGTAACCACACACTGGTCTAACACGCGTCCTGTGGATCGTCGGCCCCTTCCCTCTGCCCCCACAGCACGCAACGCCCGAGCTGGGCCAGTGGGCCACACGAGAGGCTCATTACTCTGGCGACAGGCTCTCCTACGTCTAGTCGCGCCAGGGGGGAGGGAGGCAGGAGGTCGCGGGGTGCCGGCCCGCTGCTCTGGGCGTCCTCGGAGGGCCCAGGGTGGACCTCGGAGGCCCTCGAAGAGGCCTTTCTCGCAGCTCGACGAGAACGAGGAGGAGGGTCGGGTCGACGAGAACGAGGAGGAGGAGGAGGAGGAGGAGGAGGAGGAGGAGGAGGAGGAGGAGGGACGGCCCCCCGCCCCCACACCCGACGCCACCGCCCCCCCCACCCCCTGTGGGTGTGGGGGGGTGCTGCGGCACTGCCTCCCTGCCTGTGGGTGTGGGGTGGTGCCGACCCCCCGCCCGGTGGTGGGGGCGCGGGATCGGCATCGGCACAGTCGTCGTCGTCTCCCCCATGCCTCCCCCTCTCCAAGCTGGAATACGCAGGACGTCGTCGTCGTCGTCGTCCCACGGGGGGGGGGCGCGGGACCGTGGGCCCGAAGCCCAGGACATACCACCCAACCGCCCCTGACCGGGCCCATCCTTTGCCCAAGAAAAGTGTGTACGTGCTCCTTGCTCCAACTGGCCATCCAAAACCCCTCAAGGCCATGGAAGACCCCATGGGGGGCCTCATACGCATGATACTGGTCCACCCGTCCTGGATTGAGCCAGCCAGGTGATGGTCAGGACCCTGTAAACAAGGCCCTCTGATCAACTGGGATATTGGCACGCCTGAGAAAACAGCAGTCGCGCATCGTAACATTCTCAACCAGTCGTTCACTTCCGTTGGATCTGGCGAAGTCCTGGTTTGCAGCGTCATGGCTTCCAGGGTCCTGAGGCGGAAACCATGCCAATCCTGGGCCCAGTGTCGGTGAGCACGCACTCCTGGCCTGGCTGCAACAACACATGACAGACCAGTGAGTAAGTCATTTACTGTGAGGAGCCTGGGGCCGACTCTCATCGGCAAAGCACTGGAACGCGCGACTTGGTGACCCTGCAAGCCCTGTCCTCCGGCCCAACTCCCTTGCCGTCAAGCCTGCTTGAAGACGGAGACGGAGAGGGTCATGCGCTTCGACACGAACGCGGACAGCACCATACCTTGTGAGCGTCGAGTCCAAAGAAACAATCGCACGGTCGAGCAGCCACATCGTCTTCGGGCTCCCCCCAACTCCCCCTCCTCCTCCTCCTCGTTCTCCTTCTCCTCCTCCTCCTCCTCCTCCTCCTCCTCCTCATCATCCTCCTTCTCCTCTTCCTCCCCCCTGTTCTGAGCAAGATTCCGAGGCGGACCCAGCTGGCGACGAGGGAAAGGTGACGGGATCCCTCCTCAGACGAATCTGCGAGCTACGAGCGACCCACGACGACGACGACGGCGACGACGACGACACGAGCAGCGAACGACCCACCGACCGACTGAACGGCGACGGCGAGGGCGCCGTCGGCGAGCCCCGACAGGCCCTGCTCGCGCGGCAGAGCCGCGCCGCCCGCGTACAGCGCCAGCCCGGCGGCGTCCGCCACGCCCAGCTGCCGCGCCACCTCCGCGTAGAGTTCCTGTGGGGCGTGAGGCCACGTTGGCTAAGCAGGCATCTCTCGGGTCGGGCGAAATGGGGGGATAGCGAAGGGGGGGTTTGAGAAGCAGCTCACGCAGCTGATTTTCCTGGCCTCTCCCGGCGCCGGAGGCGGCTATGTATCCAGGAATGGGCCCCTCGGTGAGGCCGAAACCAGCTGCATGCAGCAAATTTCGTACCCCCCCCTTTCCCAATCCCCCCCTTTCGTCCAGCCCGAATCTCCTGGAAGGTCTGCGTAAGAGCGAGTATGTGCTTCTCGCTGCAGCCGGGATGAGCAAGCTCAGCAGCCAGATGCGGACCAGACCAGACGAGGCATCTCACAGACTTGTGTCTCTGCGTTTGTCCTGCAATCGATGCTGCTGGCAGGTTGCGTCGGGTTCGGAACAAACAGCCAGCGGCTCAGAGCGACTGAGGGATACCAAGCCCGCTTCAAGGGCCATCAAACCGGATGAAGTCAAATTGAGCGGGGAGATGGGCCGAATGAGCTGGGAGTAAGCAGTCCAGGGCTAAAGGGAATTATGCTGGAGTAGGCTGACTTTCGACCACGTCTTTACCACAACGCCGATACTGAATCTAAGCTCCCAGCAGCTGCATCTTAATCAAAGGGAGGAAACAAACGAGAGCGGGGGGAAACAGGCGCACCTCTCCAGCCGAAGCAACCCGTGCAGGGCCCCTTTCGGGCCACATTCTCCAGCAACCCTCGCTCCTAGAGGCCTCCCATATGGGGTTTAAGCAGATGGGGTCAGAGGATCGCGCCGCATCGTCGACGCATCACCGATGCATCGGCGACGTCGGCGATGCATTGGCGATGTGCTGGCGACGTAGGCGTGGAGAAAACCGGGCTCCGTCGCCGATGCGTCGGCGATGCGGCGCGATCCTGCGACCACACCTGCTCGAACCCAGTCTGGGAGGCCTAGAGCTCCCCCCCCTCGTGGTGCCCCCCTTCGGTGGCTCACAGATGGGGGCCCCGAGGGGTGGGGTCCCGAGGACGAGGTGCCTCGGACAACGCCAATCCACCCCTGGGACCCCTCTCCTGTCCTCGAGACCCCAGCCCTCCGGGCCCCACCTTTTCGAACCACCGACCACTGCTGCCGAGAGCCCACACCCTGCGAAATGCTCAAGAAATCATGGGTTAAGAAATTCATAGGTTCAAAACTTGCATAAAAAACCAAACATTTCTATTAAAAGCTTAGGATTTACATTGAAACATTAAGAATCATCGAGACTCTGGCCGAAAACTTAAGTTTTCTTAAGCATCGCCTAAGGTGCACCCCGCGGGCGCCTCCGGCCGCCGCTCGCGCCAGAGGCCCCGAGGGGAGGCGGGCCGTCGGACCGCTTCCGTGCTCGGGGGCCCGCGGGCGGTGTGGCGACCACTCCGCGCGGTGAGCCAGCGGGGAGTCGGGGCCACCGCACGGTCTTGCTAGGCGACGAGCCCAGGGGGGAAATGAGAAGGAGAAGGCCTTCTCAGAGGGCCGCGGGACTTCTTAGAAGTCCGGGGGGCTTCTGAGACGTCTCCCTGGCCTGTTTCGAACACAGGCAGAACTTCTCAGAAGCCCTCTCAGAAGTCCAGAAACTTCTCAGAAGCCTCGGAAGTCCCGCCCCTTCTCATTTCCCCCCCGCGCCCGCCTTGCAGGAGAGCCCAGAACCGAATCGACAAGTCGGATCGGCGATCGAAATTCGCCAGCCCAACGGGCCGGAGGCGTGCGGAAGTGTTCTAGTTCGCGCGCGCGGGGCCGTCCCTGAGGGTCCTGGAATCAAAAGCGCCCTGCCTGATCACCGGCCAACCTTTACTCGGAGATGATTTCCCCCTCTGGGTGCGGCCTCTCAGGCCCCCCTGAGCGCGCCAAGAGAGCCCCCAAGACGGTCCAAGGGGGCCCCGAGTCACCGAACGATCAGTCCAAGACCCCAAGATGGCCTCCAGACTGCCCAAGAAGCCTGCAAGACGCCCCAAGCATCCTCCGAGAGACCTCCCAAGAGGGCCCCCAGAGGCACAAATTAGTAATGTTACCACGTTTTTGAAGGATTGGGACGTTCTCGTCTTTTCGACTTACCGGCGCTCCAAGACGGCCTAAGAGGCCCCCAAGATCACCCCAACACGGCCCAAGAGGCCTCCAAGAGAGCCCCAAAACGGCCCCAGACCGCTCCAAAACGGCCCCAGAGGCGCCCAAGATCGCCCAAGGCCCCAAGACGGCCCCAGGAGAGGCCCAAGAGGGGGAACACGAACTACCAATTCGAGCCTTCCGCCCCAAGAGGCACCCAGGAGGCCCCAAAAGGCCCAGAAGAGCCCAAGAGAGGCCAGGAGGCCCCCTTGAGGCCCCTTGAGGCCCCGAAGAGTTCCCAAAAGAGACTCCCAAAGGCCCCCAAACGGCCACCAAGAGGCCCCAAGAGGCCACGATCGCGCAGGCAAACGCCTGCCGGCGGAATGAGCGAAGCGACGAATACATCGGGTCGGCAGAAATCGGCAGCCAAATCGGGAGATGTCGAATCGGCGGAAATCGGCAAGCTAGATGCCTCCTATGAGAAAGCGGACGGTTGTGGGACTCGGGTCGTTCTCCGAAGACGTCTCGAGCAGCTGGGGCCTCCGAGGCCCCAGAAACCGCGCGGCGACGGACCGCGCGGTGAGGCCAATGGGAATTCCGAGATCACCGCGCGGTCCGTCACCACACACAAGTTTGGGCCCCGCACGTCTCCTATGTTCGGGGGCGGCCAAGAGAGGGGGCGTCCAAGAAGGGGGGGGCGCAAGTCGTGGCCGGAGGCACCTGTGCGGCCCAGGGGGGTGCTGGGGGCGTATTGAACTAAGAGGAGTCGCGATGAAGTTTGGGGAGACATCATGGCCCCAACCTTGCCGTCGCTCGGACGTCCATTTCCCGTGCATTTTTCGATGTCGTGCGTGTTTCTTTTTCGCTCGATGGTCCAGGAGGGTCCCCGATGGTTCTCGCCGAGAAAAAAGGCACACGTCCGAGCGATGCCAAGCCACCACCCTCCCATCCCCCCACCCCTCGTCACCATCCCCCGCTGGGCTGCCCCCGATCTGGTGTCGGCTTGTCCGTGAGCGGCTCGGGAGGCAGAGCCGGTCCGCCAGGGGGCAGCCCCGGGGCCCAGGGCCCGCTCCCCACTCGGGGCTCGTCTCGGGCTCGTGCTGCACGGGCCGGAGAGCACACGAGGCGTCGGAGGATCGCACCGCGTCCCCGAGGCATCGTCGGCGCCGTCGGGATGGAGGAGATCGGGCCCCAGATCGCGACGCGGTGCCGATGCGTCGGCGATGCGGGTCGATTCGCTCGCCCCGTCTGCTCCAGCCCCACGTGGGCGGCCTGGAGCGTCCGTCGCCGAAGCCGCCGGTGTCTCAGAGATCGTGGAGTCGGGAAAACTTTCGCCGTGTTCGGCCTCCATTGTGGGCCCGTTTCGGGTGTCCTCAGTGCCGTCGCCTAAGTAATCCTCTAAGCCCAAATCCTTACTCCTGAGGAGTCTCTGAGGGGCCCGGACCTGGAATTGCCAAATCTCTCAGGGCTTGTCGCGTGCCCCCTGGGGTTCCTCGCGTCTTCCCGCGTGACATTCTCGGGCCCAGGAGGGGCCCAAGACGGGCCAAGACGACCGCCAAGAAGGTCCAACAGGGCCCCGAATCGCCGAGCGATCGCCCCAAGACGCCCACCCCAAGACGGCCCAAGAGGCCGCCAAGTCGCCTCAAGAGGCCTCCGAGAGGCCTCACAAGAGGGTCACGAAAGGCCAAAGTCATGAACTTTACTTTGGTTTTGAAGGATTTTGGTGTTCTCGCCTTCTTCCCGACGCTGCAAGACTGCCCAGGAGGCCCCCAATATCGCCCCAAGACGGTCCCAGAGACCCCCAAGAGGGCCCCAAGATAGCCCAAGAGGGCCCCAAGGCGGCACAAGAGTCGCTCAAGACGACCCAAGAACGGCTCCAAGAGGGATCCCAGATGGGGAATCCGAACGGACAGTTCGAACCCTCGGCTCCGAGAGGCCCCCAGCAGGCCCAAAGAGGCCCCAAGAGGCCAAGACGCCCCAGGAGGTCCCAAATAGGCCCCCAAGAGGCCCCCGAAGGCGCTGCGAAGAGACCACAGGAAGCATCCCCGAGAGCTCTGACCCACAACCCTGGCACGGTGGCGGGATGGGCCAAAGGCCATTAGATAGACCCCCAGAGGTGTCCAGTACTCAAGCTTTGTTTCTATACTGAGCACGTCCAAGGGAGAATATCAAGGGTCACCACCAGAGGGGGGTGCGCTGTGGGCCCTTAGCAGGAATGGCCACCATCTGAGTCCACCAATGCTGTGCGACGGTGCCTCCGCGAATTAAATATCTGGGCTGTCTTCTGTTCAACTCTCGGACAGAGCGGGCCCGGGTGCTTAGCCAGGATCAGATTCTACCCTCTCAGGGGCAGCTTGTACACAACAACCACGTCTCAGAGAGGGTATGTTGTGTGTCAGACCCATCGCCAGGAGGGCCTGCGCCACCCTCACTCCCGAGGTTCTTCGATGATCGCCGCTGCCCCCGAGGCATCCCGTGGCGCGACGGCCCACTTGCCAACAGCGCGCCAACCATAGCAGGACTTGGGCTAGGCAGTCAGGAGGACAGTAAATCGAAGGGCGCGCCGAATCTAGAACTGGACCCAACCTGGGAGGTCTCGGGCGTATTGCACTAACAAGTTGAAGTCCCAGGGATTGCTGCTGAGGTGCGGTCGAGATGCGGGTCGATCTCCCGGCCCCACCTGCTCCAGCCCCACTTGGGCTGCCTGGCTGCCTGGAGTCGCTGCCGCCGCCGTCGGTGTCTTGGAGATCGATGAGCGAGTAAGTCTTACGCCGCTTTCGGCCTTCATAGGTGAGGTGCAACTTTCGGCCTTCATAGGTGAGGAACGATCGGGAGGAGGAGGAGGGGGAGGGGGAGGGGCAGGAGGAGGGAGGAGAGGAGGAGCAGGAGGAGAGGAGAAGGAAGATGAGGAGGAAGAGAAGGAGGAGTGAGGAGAAGAGGGGAGGAGGAAGGAGGAGGAGGGGGGGAGGAGGAGGAGGAGGAGAGGAGGATGAGGGAGGCGAGGGAGGAGGGAGAGGAGGAGGAGGATGAGAGAGGAGGAAGGAGGAGAGAGGAGGAAGGAGGAGGAGGGCGGGAGGGAGGGCGGAGGAGAGACGAAGGAGGCGGCGGCGCGGAGGAGGAGAGGGAGTGCGGCAGGACGCGGGAGACGTCCGACGGCAGGCGGCGGAGGGGGGGACGGGAAGGGGCGGAGGCGGCGGCGGGCGGACCGAGGGAGCGCGGCGTCGCGGTGCGGCGGCGGAGGTGTGGGCGTCTTCGGGGTGGGAGGCGGCGTGGGAAGGCCCAGGGATGGACCTCGAGGCGTGGCCGAGGAGCAGGAGCGGCGGCGGCGGCCGCGCGCGCGGGGGCGCCCGAGAGCCTGGCCCTGCCCGGCGGGGGCCACGTCCACGCCCACGTCGAAGGGGCTCGCGGGGCACAGCTCCTGCGGCAGGGGGGCTCGCGGGCGGGAGCCGGCGGGGCTCGCCAGCTTGCCGTCGCTCGGGCGTCCACTTCCCGTGCATTTGTCGGTTTCGTGCGTGTGTTTTTTGCTCGATGGTCCAGGATGGTCCTCAAGGGTCCTCGCCGAGAAAAAAATACACACGTCCGAGCGATGCCAGGGAGCGGCGGATCCGCATCCGCCCTCGAGGTCTGGACCCGGGGGCGCGATCCCGCGCGGAGAGGCGGCGGCGCGAGAGCGCGGTCCGCGCGGGGCATCTGCGGGCAAGAGCGCCCCGGACCCGCGGCGTCGCGGCCCAAGGGCCGCGCCCGAGAGGCCGTGGACGCGGGTGTGCTTCGCCCACGAGACGGGAGTCGGCGGGGCTCGGCTGGGAAAGCTCGGCCGCGGAGCAAGCAAGGGCAGGCTCACCAGCCTCGAACTTATGCCTATCCCTAAGATTGACACGCCAGAAGGCGATGGCAATCTTAGGGATGCGCCCCCAAAAAATGAAGGGAATCCCTAAGATTGGCATCGTGATGAGGAGATGCCCAGCATAGGGATAGGGATATGCTCCAGGCTGGTGACAGGCTCACCACCGCTTGTGGGAGGGAAGGGCAGCAGAGCGGCAGGAGAAGGACAGCCGTTCGAAGCTCGACCTGCACCGCCCAAGCCCAGGCCGTCCAAAACTGAAGGGGCCCTGGGACACACAAATAAAAGGATTCCCTATATTTTCTCATATTTTCTGGGTTTTTGCCTTCCCCCCCACTTCCTATGTTTTCCTATATTTTCCTGGGGCTCGACGATGAATTGTGTCTGTGTGTTTTTTTTCTCCTGAAAAACGGGCCTACAAGACCTGCCACAATCGTGCATGCCCATGGGGCGAGGGGAGCGGATCGTGGACAGAGGGGGCACTGGAAGCGTCTCACCGTTTCCAGACCCTCGGGGCCCTTCATGGGCCCCAGGACCGTCAACGGAACGACTTCAGATGAGGAACAGAATGCGAAACACCGGCAGGAGCAGAAGTCGTCGGAGGCCCGGGCAGAGTTCTCTGGTGGGCGCCGGAACTCCCTGGCGGCGGCGCCCCAGGACCGTCAACGCAACGACTCCACATGAGGAACGTAGTACGAAACATCGGCAGGAGCAGAAATCGTCGGAGGCCCCGCGCGGAGTTCCCTGGTAGGGCGCTGGACCTCCCTGGCGGCGCCTCCCCATGGCGCCCCCCACGCCCCAAAGGAGGCTCCAGCGCCGATCCCACAAATCTGCGCGGACCTCCAAGAGCTTACGCTTATGCTGCTCCCTCATTGATCGAGCCGCTCATAATACGGTAATGGTAGGATGTGGGATTTAGAACAACGGCCCCGGATTTAGAAAACCCGTCCTTGAATTTAGAACACCGCATCCTGCGTTCACTACATGATGTGCCGTCTTGTTCTGACTCGGCGGCGCAACATCTGGCACATCGGTGCCTCGCTTCAGCAGATCAGCGCTTCTTCCGTACTCTGTTCTGCGAGCGCGCGCCCCTTCCTTGCCACGACCTGCGCTATAGCCGATGGCTCACTGTGCATATATGTGGTCCGTGCCGCCGCCGTCGTGGCCGGCAGGGGCGCCGGCGGCCTCGAGGCGCCGGCGGCGGCGAGGGGGCGCCGGCGACGGGAGGAGGAGGAGGAGAAGAGGAGGAGGAGGAGGAGGAGGAGGAGGAGGAGGAGGAGGAGGAGAGGAGGCGGCGGAGGGGATGGCGGGAGGAGGAGAGGAGGCGGAGAAGGAGATCGTAGGAGGGCCGGAGGTGCGGGAGAGGAGGAAAGGCGCGGAGCGGCGGGGCGACGGCGGGCGCGGCGCGAGGGCGGCGGCGGCGGCGGCGCAGGGAGGGGCCGCCGCGGCCACGGCCCCCCCGCGGCGGGCGCCTCGGCCGCGTGCCAGACGCGGGCCTCGCAGCCGTCGCGGATGCCGAGCTCCGCCAGCGTGCTGCGGACCGGTGTTTCGTCGGCTGCAAGGAGGGTCGAGGAGGAGGATCGAGGAGGAGGATCGAGGAGGAGGATCGAGGAGGAGGATCGAGGAGGAGGATCGAGGAGGAGGATCGAGGAGGAGGAGGAGGAGGAGGAGGAGGAGGAGGAGGAGGAGGGCAGGGGGGGGGCGATGGGGAGTGCGAGCGAGCGAGGGAGGTCAGGGGGAAGAGAGGGGGGGCAGGAGCGTGGAGAGAGACGAATCGGGAGGGAGGGAGGGAAGCAGAGCAAGGAGGAGAGAGAACCGATGAACATCGAAGCGGGCATGAGGGAGAGGCACAGTGGGACGAGGGAGGGAGAAGGTACCTTAGGGAGAATTCGCGAGGAGGGAGGCCTGCGAGCAGGAAAGAGGAGGTATGCTGATGTTATGGCTCGGCAGTGCTATCATCAAATGTCTCAAAATGCGTCTGTGCACCATTGCGACTGCACGCAAAACTTGCCCGAATGAAGCAACGACGACGCCGAACCGCGCATGCAATACGCGAACAGCTGGCATGCAGTCAGGCAGTCCGGCCGGAATTCGCAGAGACACGCGCGCGTGCAAGGCATGCCACATCACAAACGGGCGAGTGGTGGCACAGCCAACAGCAAGACTGGCCATCGCTCGGACGTCCATTCCCTGTGTTTGTTTCGCCAAATGATCAAGGATGTTCCTAAATGGTCCTCGCCGAAGGTAGGATGCACACGTCTGAGCGATGCCAAGAAGAGGATGAGCGTGCCCCTTCCCGATGGGCGCGGTCGAATGCCTCGACATCGGTGCGTTGGCCACGGCGGAGGCGGGTCCTGCACTGGGGTCGCCCAGCATTTCGTCCTGCTGGAATCCGAGAGATGCGCAATGCACCGCAGACGCTGGCAAAACATAGTTTGACAAACAGTCGAGTAGGGGATCAACTACAGAATTGATTGACCCCAACATTGATTCTCCATCGCATCTACGACGAAGACCTAGAAGGTTCAGCAATCGACTGAGACTTCTGAAAATTTTGTCAGATTCGACGAGAAAGCCAATGTTGGGATAAATCAATTCTGTAGTCGATCCCCTACTCGAAACAGGGCAACAGGCAGCTTCGTCTACATGCATTCTGGCGGAGTATCGAAACTGGCGCACCACTTTCTGCTGCACCTCCCGAGCCCTGCTCGTTGGAAACACAGGGGCCGCAGGACAGAAACTTCGCGAAAATGGTGTGCACGGGCGCGCGCGACTGGGCTGTGCCTGGTGGGCTAGCTGGTCACGCGCAGACGACGAGAAGAAGACGCCCGGCACCACATCTCTCCACGGCGCGGGCTCTCTCACCATGAACTCCCGCCGCACGTCACTTTGCGCGAGGGGGTCAGGGGGCCGGGGGAAGGTCGGCACGCGCCCCCACGCCACGCGCCCCCACGCACGCCTCAGATCGTCGCAGATGTGCACAAACCAGTCGAGGGCCTTGGCACGATGCCAAGATAGGACGACAGCCTGCAGCGGACGTGGAGCGCAATGCGCCTGACGAGCGACATGCAACAGGCGCTCGCGAAGGAGAGGGCGATCGAGCGACGGGACCCCGATCAACTCGCGGGATGCTGGAGGTAAGTATCCGTGGCCTCTCCAAGCTGGAGTCTCTAGCAACCCTGCGCAGAACGCGCGGGCGTGCGCCGCTGAGCGCACGAACGCACCGCGGCGTGCAACGCATGATGCGACTATAGAACAAGAGCCCACTGTGGATCAGCAGAGCGTCGGTGAGAGCGAGGCGAAGGTTCACGTAGAGGTCGCTCACTCCAAGTGGTCCGTGATTGCGGTCATCATCTCGCTTCAGACGGCCAAGCTGCATGTTGGGCTGGTGCGAGTTAGCGCTGAACGCAACCGAAGCAAACAAGCCTTTGGATGAATGCCAGCTAAAAGGACACATCGGAACTTATCAGGGTAATATGTGCTTCCTTTCTTTAATGCATGGTGGCGAACGAGCATGCCACCTGTCCGCGAGAGGGACCATCGCTATTGGTCGGCTATCTTGGCATGCAGCGCTGAAAACTCCACCGCGCGGGAGTCGACGGCTGCTCGAATCTACTCGCCCAGGGCGCCGTCATTCACGACGCCGATGTTCTTTTCCAAGAGGCGCCGCTATCGCGCCCATGAAGACATCGGCGAAGTGACCGCGCGCGAGCACATTGCGTTCGCGGCGCGCAGGTGGGCCCGCCGCCAGGGCCTCGGGGCGCGGCGACTGCCGGCGGCCCTCTCCCTCGCCGCGCGCGAGCGATGGCGTGCGCCGCGCGGGCGTCGCCCGTCGCGCGCGCCCACTGCGCCTCCAATGCTTCGTTGCCGATGCAGATCTGGCGGTCGGCCTTCGCCAGTCACCAACTACCTGGAGATGGTGCCAAGTCCGCGCGATGCTCGATGGAGACGGGCGGAGATCCGCCGAGCTGCCGCCAGAAGGCCAACGGCCTTGGCGCAGGCTGCGCGGGCGCGCCATCCCGCGCGGCCGCCGACGCGCGCGCCGCTGCGCGCGGGCGAGAGGCTGGCCGGCAGCGCCGAAGCGAAGGCGTGCCAAGCCTTCTGCAGCAGGGCCACGCGCTCCATCGCGAATGGACAAGTGAACTGGGGACTTGAATTGCCGCGCTTTCGCTTGAGATTCCCCGAAATCGTCGCTCAACTTTAGCGTGTCAAATGAGATCATCGCTTTGTTCTTCTTTTCGTCTGACTTCGCATGTGTCAACCAGAAGTGGGCGATAGTCGATATATCTATTCAAGTTGATATTCGCGTTGCGGTCAGCAAGGGCATCCCCCCTAGGTATTCGTGCTCGCGCTTGACGCACGCGCAGTTAATGTGAGCCCTGCTGATATGACGACACCCAGGCTCTGCGATGGGGAACTGCGGTCTAGCTGCGGACATCCTGAAACGAGCATCGATATTCTGTTCTGCGTCATGACACTGCGCGCCATGCGCTCCGATCTTCACGCCGCCGGCTCTCGCGCTGGCAGCACTCAACAATCTGACATGGTACAAGCCGAGGTGCCTCTCGACCTGCCCCCGGAATTCGCCCCCGCATCGCCCGCTGGAGAACTCGGGAGGAGCGCGCCCAGAGCAGTGCCAGCCCAGCGGCCAACGTCTGCGCCATCCCAACACCGGCGGGGGCCCTCGTACCCGGCTGCGCGATGACAGCAGCCGGAAAGCGCAATGCACGTACAATCCAGACTTGAGTCGCGCGGCGAAAGTCAGGACACGCGCCCGCGAAAATCTCGAAGTAGTTGCCCGCGACGGCGCGCTCGGCGGCGCCCCCCCCACCTCTGCGCGCCCGCGAGACCGCGCCCAGCATCGTTGAACATAACTTGCAAAATCTATGTCTTGCTCTTGAGTGACGTGATGGCGTTCTGCCTGTAGCTAGCTTCTCCCTGCCGCGGCAGCAGCGATCGCGCGCTGGCTGAAGCGCGTCGAATGCTGGGCAAGACCTGGCCCAGCTCGTCCTGCAAGGGGCGCTCGCGCCCTGTCCCAGGCGGCGCGGTCATGGAGGTACTGGCTGGTCCAATGCCCCGCCGTTGTCTGCCATCGGCAGGTGGCTGGTGCCGCGCTGCGACGCGGGGGCGCCGAGCGCGCCCATGCCGACCGCCCTGCGCTCCCTGGCCGCGCTCTCCTCGCCTCCTCGTCGGGCCTCTCGGGGGCGGCGCTGCGGGCGCGGGCCGTCTCGTCAATGGGGCGCGCCCCCGCGGCACAGGCCATCCGCGCGATCTGGCCGATGCCGCTGGAAAGCTGCTTCATCAAGGCCTCCGCCTCGGCGACGTGCTGGGCAGGGTCCGCCCCGCCCGCTTGCGTCGCCTTCAAGACCGCGTACATTGCAGATCTCAGCATCTGAACCCAGCCGGCCGGCCCCGCTCGCCATCGGAATCGGCTGCTGGAGGCTGGCCAACTCAGCCTGAAGTTGCTTCTGCTCGACCCCTGCCTCAATATTCTCATGGTTCGCTCGGGCGATCCCCTGCTGGCAGTCGGCAACTCTCTTCTGCGACCTCTCAGGCACAGTGCCGAACGACCGCCGGCGCGTGATGGCAAGCTTCGCCGCCAGCAAGCGCCCCTGAAGCTGCTTGCGCTGGGCGTCAAAGCCGTCGGTGGGGAACGCTGCAAAAGCGGCCTCGATCTGCCTGACATGGCTGTCGCTGGTCACCTGCTGCCTCTGCCTCTGAGCAGCGGGCGCGGCCGCAGACGGCGGCGGCCCCTGATCGCCAAAGTCGCAAGCGAGAGATCCTGCTGGAGACGATCGATCTTGCCTCTCACCTCGCTGTACGAGGCGCGACTACTCGTCGCGCCTTCGCCCGCCCGGGCTTGGTGGCAGCCGACATGGGGAGCTGGCGGCTGCGAGGTCGTACTCCGTCCGATCTTGAAGCCGCGCTTGGAGCACTTCTTGTTCCAGCGCCACTCCGACGAGCATAATGACAACGGCCGCCCCTGGAGCTGCCTGTGGGAAGAGTTGTGCCATGGTGCGGTGGTGCTCCAGCTGCGTGACTGCCGCGCTGCGCGGCCGCGCTCCACGAGGCGCGCCCGTCTTGCTGGTCAACCATCCCGCCGAGGAAGACTGGTGGGGCGGGCCGCCGTGGGCTGGGAGAGCGGGCCGTAGGCTGACGGTGTGGTGGCGCAAACTGTCATGGCCCGACAGGTTGAGCCAAAATGGAAACGGGGGAGTGATGATGCAGAAATATCCGCCGGTCCCCACTTGCCAGGGATCAAAAAGGACACGTGAGACAATTGGCTGTCCCCCTCTCCCTTTCCCACCCCCCAGGGGGGCCCAAATTGTAATTTAAGGG